GACCGGCAGTGCTGGGCGGGCTGGGGGTGCTCGGGCCCGGGGCCGGCACCCCAGGGCCCAAGCCGACCCAAGCTGGAGATATACATAGTACCATATCAGGTCACAATACTCTAGGATCCAGACTCTAAATTTTGTGTATGTCCTAAATGCACACCAAACAAGAGGAAAGAGCGAGCCTGCAACTTCAATGTTTCTCAGAGCAAGGAAAATTATTTTTTTTAAAACAAGGCAACCAAATTCTAAATGAGGATGATTATCCAGAGTTTATTTACATTGATCATTAATTTAAGTATGCAGAATAGCTAGCATGCAAAAATAGGCAGATGCCAAGGAAAGATGTCTCTGCTTTCACCTTTTCTGTCTGGAATCAGGATGCCTTGCTGGGTGACCAGCTGTTGGGCTGCTAGTATCTTTGGGGCTAGGAAGAGCAATCTATCTCCCTGCAGGATGACAGCTGGCAAACTGAGCCCAATTACTGCCCCTTTTCTGTTTCCCTCTTCAAGTCACTAACTTTTGTATTTTTTTAATCTTTGCCTCTGTCCCAAATAAAACATAGAATAAAATATTTCCAGCCTAAACGGATCAAGTATGTTTTCTTGTCTAGTCTTCCATTTTCCCATTCCTTTGCTCCCTCTCCGTGTTTCTTCCACTTCCCTCTTTATACTCTCTCTCTTTTCTGGTTATTTTCGTTTCACTATCTCTCTCTTATTTATTTTTTTATTCTTTCTTGTCCTGTTTCTCCTGTTCTTTCTAACGAACCAGGTAACATTCCCTCCTTGTTTCATATCTTAACTACGAAACATTTTTGTGTCTTGTCCACTCTCCCTTGCTCTCTATTGTCCTTCCTTTACTTTCCTCTTGCTCTGCTCTCTTCCCCCCCCGCTCCCTCTCTTCCCTCATGCTGTTCTGTTCTTGCCGTTGTTGTTTTGCCTAACACACTCTTGCTCTTCCGTTATCTGTTCCCCACTGCTCATTTGTGTTTAGTTGTCTCTCTCCCAAGATCTCTCATCGGTTGTAGAAGAGGAGGTGGGGAAGCTTGCTCTCTCATTGCCCAGGCTGTATCCGTTGTGTGGATAAACATAAGACTTTAGTCTCCAGTGCTGTCAGTCCAGAGGCCCCTCCTCTGAGGGGGAATGGACCTTTCATTCTGGTGGGCTCATGCCACCTCTTTCCAGGATTTCAATAGTCCAGAGCCCCCTCCTTCATCTGAGAGGGCAGGGCCATTTGTCTTCTGGTGGGCTCCACCCACAATCCAATGATTTAAATAGATGCTGGTTGCAGCGCATTTTTCACCAAGCTTCTGCCCTTGGTTTGAGACAGTCTGGGATTTAGGGTATGTGGTAAGGCTTGTTCTTTTGCCCAGCCAGGCATCTGAAGACAGTGGGGACTCATGGGGGTATTGTTTATGGGGAAATGGTCAGGTTAGTGGGGAAAGCCCTACCTATTGGGTTCTGCTGGGGAGGGCTTGCTGGCATTTTTCTGTCAACTTGATGCTAGCTTTGCTTTGGTTGTTTTTTTATTTTAAATAACGCTAAAAGTGCCCAGAGTTGCAGACGACTGCCTGATCGGTTGCATTCTAAATGGAAATAAATAAGACTCTTTGCACCGAGTATCTGGCCAGCTATCTCCTCCATTCTACTACACCACCTAATTTTGTATGAAATACTTTTGTGGACTTCTTGTCATGATTGAGACACCTGTTCAATGCTTTGCCAACTCCACATTTCTGGAAATAGCCGAATCAGGCATTGTAATCTGTCAGGATCTGCTGTCTTCAGAAATGTTGATTTGAGTACAGGTTAACTGTGGTGCTTTTCAGTCCTGAAGATTAGGAGTGTATCCACATGCTCTCCGTTCTTGGGGAACACGAACCCCTCTAAGCAAGTTCATCAAAAGAATGGGACTGCCAGGGGAATTGTTCAGCCTCAGTTTTCCCCTGTAATGCCCTTTAACTTTAACTTCTCAGTGCTGTAACAAGAGACACTGGCTAATGCTTAGAGCTGTCTAAAAACTATAGCTCCCACAGCAAATGATTATTATCATTTTTTTTTAGTGTTATATGTGTGCAGTGATCTGCAGAGAAACTTAAAAAGATGAGCTCCTGCCTGATGGTGTCTACAATTTAAGTTAGCTGTAGCACAACAAGAGGTAACGGAGTAAGATTTGTGGGGGTGGGGAAGGTAAGGAGCTAAGAGAAAGATGAGAGTTACAATTGTAAAAGGCCATGTACAGGCGCCCATGCTTAATAGTTATGCGACCACATAGAGGGCAGCATATTTTACCTTTTCATCTACTTGCCACATAAATTCCTTTGTGCTGCATAAATCCACCAAGACTGGGATTTGGTAAGGAGCCTATAAGCTCTCATTGGATTTCTGTGGGTGTTGGGCAACTACAGTAGCTGCTGTAGTTTTCTTTGAAAATCCCACCCCAAAATGCTGCCACCTCCTGCTTGGTAATCTGTCTCCACCTGCCATTTTGCCTTCCTGCTTTTCTTCCTCTGGCGGT